CCCGAGAGGAATGCTAATGGAGAATCCTCGGAGACACGGATCGAAAGTTTAGAGAATTGTCTTCAATCGTTGGCCTCTACCGTCTCCATGTTGCATGATACCGTCAAAGGAGTGCTATCGATTCAAGCCTCTCTTAAATGCCTCGAGACTCAAATGGGGCAACTCGGGAGTTCCATCGGGGAAATCCAAAGGAGCAAAATGAAAGACAAGCTTCCGAGCCAATCCGAGCACTTGAATGCCATTACGGTCTTGAGGAACGGTAAAATGATTGATAATCGTGTGGAGATGCCCGAAAAAGATGAGGTGGTTGAAGTTGTTGTTGATGAGGATGATGAAGAACCGAAAGTAGAAGTTGAGGTTTCAAAGGGGAAAGACGTTGTTGATGAGAACATGGAGAAGGAGAACCCCAAGAAGGATGCCCGTGAGGCTTTGCACAAGACTACCACACCTTACCGACCACCCGTCCCTTTTCCGAGCCGTTTGCAAGATACAAAAAAGGAGCGTCAATTCAAAGATCTTTTCGACATGCTCTCAAAGGTAAACGTCAATCTCCCTTTCTTGGAGGTTACTCGAAATGTCCCGGCATATGTGCAATTTTTCAAGGATTTGGCCTCCAAGAAGAGGAGATTCGGGGATAATGAGAAGGTGATGATTTCCGAGGTAGCCTCGACTACTATACCTCGGAAAAAGTGTGACCCGGGAGCCTTCGTCATGAAGATCACCTTTGGGAATGGAAAAATGACGACCGGGATGCTTGACTTGGGAGCCGGTATAAATCTCATGCCATATTCGATTTACAAGCAATTGGGATTGCAAGGGCTTAAGCCTACCCGGATGTGCCTACAACTAGCGGATCGCACTTTGAGGGAACCGAAGGGTATAATTGAAGATGTGTTGGTCAAAGTTGGTTCTATTGTTGTGCCGGTTGATTTTGTTGTCCTTGATGTTGGAGTTGTCCCGAACACCGGGAAGGAGCACACGATTTTACTTGGACGACCTTTCATGGCCACGACCAACACCATTATCGACGTCAAGGAGGGACGGGTCACTCTTTTGGCTCATGGAGAGACGGCTACTTTTACGATGAACAATGCCCGGGAAGCTCCACCCAAATTTGGCCAATGCTCATTTATGGAGGATATCGGCAAAGAGGTACATCCCGATTCTCATTCTAAATTTGCTAATTATAATCGTGTTGAGGAGAAGTTGAAGGTGGTTGAGTCGTTTGTGAATGAGAATGTTGAAGTTGGAGTTAATTTTGGAGATTTGAAAGATGGGGTTGGAAATGGTAAGGGGTCGAAAAAGAAGCATAAGAATGGAAAGGAAAAACCGGGAGGAAGCCCACCGGGTTTGAAAGATGAAGTGAATTCCGGGGTATGGA